AATTTGCGTATAGCCATGATTATCTGGTTATCCAACCTGGGTCTTATACAGTAAGACTGTGTATTATACCAGAAGTAATTATCCAGTGCTTAACCACCCTACTTAGCATCAATAATTCTTTGAAGTAGTGCAAAGTTTGTCCAAAATATTTGATTCGAATCAAAAGTACCAGAAATTATATCTGTTTTTTTGCGACAGCTTTTCTTTGTTTATTGTATTGTGAATATGATTTTCTAATTCAGTTGTGTAAATTTCATAAAAAGAGGGCGTAAGTGAGTACAAGACATAAATGTGTGGCTCAATTGTTAACTTGTGGTAAATAATATATATATACTTATATATATGTCACACAGTTAAATAAACGGAGGAATTATTTGGCGAATTTGCTAACGTCCAAATGTTCGTAAACCAACGACCAGAATAGGGCTTAGTAACAACTGACTCACATTCAACTCACTTTAGGCTAACGGAAAATAGTGAAATGTATACGAAAACAGCGAGCGGCAAAAAAAAACCAAAAAAACTGTCGAGATCAAAAAAAATTTGAATGTAGAAAGAAAGGAGTGAATGGCGAAATTCGAAAGCCGAAAAAAAGAATGAAATTAACGTGAGTATTCAGCTAAAACACTGCAACAGTTAAGAAACCGCAAAGAGACACAGAAAAAGCTGAATGGCAAAAGATAAAAGTAACAAAAACTCTACAATAAAGCACCGGGTTGAGTTCTCAAATGAATAACTTCCAACACAAGGCGGGTTAGCGCGCACACACACACACTGACAGTCACACAGTCATAAATTAATGAATATCCAAATCGAGTTGATGGCGAAATCATAACAGCAAAAAGAAGTGGAACGGTAATGAGATTACAGACATTTCAGTTGGGACGAACCAAAAATGAGAGGCAAAGAAAAAATCAAATGAAGTAACTCCAGCAAAAAGGAATTGAATTTATTACACTCGCAGTCATACTGAAGAGGCTGTTTAGGATGTAGCCAATTGTGTCGCAAGAATGAATGAATGAACAAATTGACTAACGGCTGTCGTATGTGTGTCAGCTGCTGCACTCCATTTTCCGTTAGCGGCGCACTCTACTTCATGGGGAAGTTTAATTGCTTCTGACCCGGTCGAGAGCTGACGTCGCCGCAGTCGCCGGCGCGTTCATAAGAGCGCATTGCATATAAATATTCGCACTTGCCACAGCGTGTCATGGTGTCACGCTGCATTGCGTGGTGGCAAGGCGGCACGCTGTCACAGTGGTAAGTGTCAGGTGCCAAATGGAAGAGCAGAGTATAGAGATTATGCGTTGCATAGGCTATTTTCACAGCGCGGTCGTTGCATGCGTAACAAAGCACCATTCTTATCCATGTCTCTCTGCTTGGCGGTGTATCTTGTAAATAAATAAATATGGCTTTAATCATGCAAATACACTGCATTGAAGACAGTGCGCCTTCGAATTATAAGAGTAGGCCTTCCAATAAAGGAGGGGGTAAGGTAATTATGGTTTTTTCTACTGGTCGGCTCTTCTCCCTTGTCAAAGCCAGAACAAAGTTATTCAGTTCCATACAATACAAGAGAGTATATGCATAACGCATTAAAAACTGTAATCGCTTGCTTTTCTCTCTCAACTTATCATGTACATCTATTTAATTTATACCAGTTTTGTTCTGAGGCTTGGTGAATCGAACACAGCTATTCTGAGTAGAAATGCGATCTATAATGCGAAGAAGCCAAAGCGTTCGGTTTTATTGTTGCAATGTCGTGTCTTTACTGTTATTCGTATTTCTCTCGCTTCCGAGAAACTGGAATAAAGAATATTAATATTTCCCTATGAATATTTGCTCATAAATTTAAGTGACTGCGTTACCGAAAACGGCTGCCAATAACCTAATGGAACCCGAGCATTTAATAAGGGAAATTGCGAAAATTTCCTTTACAAAATATGCAAGTTTATGTTCGTTAGCAAATAAATAAATAAATGCAAATGTGAGCTACAAGTATATAACTCTCTATATTGCGCAATTGATAACAATGCATTGTTGTTGTATTTTATTGTTTTTTTTTAATCTTAATAATGCGGCGTTGTCTCGAACTTCTCAGCATTTCACGGGTCAGAAAAAGACAATGCTGAACGGCTTTCAAAGTAGAAATGGCATGGAACTCATCCCGGATCTTCCACCCAGCATTTATGTACATAGGTACGTACGTATGTGTGTGTGTGCATCTGTGTGATTGCAAGCCCGAGTTCGACATTCATACAATTAACTGCATGAGTGCTGGTTTGATTAATTTACTTAACTACAACCTTTGACATCGATCCGTTCAAGCAGCGAACAATTAAAAGTGCAACCAAGAACCAACAATAAAAATATCAAAAGTGCAAAAATCGTACAAAAATATAAACAATGAAACAAAGCGTTAGCGCATTTGAGCGGTGAATGTTATTGCAGTTGTGGAATATTGTAATCAACGAGTTGCAGTTATATATTTTATTCGTGTATGTGTGTGTATGTAGAGAAAACATTATTGTGGATGGATACGTGCCAATTAAAAATCTACTCCGGCGAGTGTTGTTCGAGCACAGGCGGTATTAAATTATTTAATTTGTCACATTTAGAGGCGCGTACCCACCCTGTAGGTAAAAGCAGGGAACAGCTCTGGTTAATTTGCCGAATCGGTTAAGGATATTTTCAAAATAGTATCTAAACTTCACAATCACTCCAAGAAAAAAGATTCGGAGTCCGGAATTTGGTTAACCGAAATGTTTACATTCATTCATTTTCTATTTGAGCTAATTTCATTATGAAAATGATAATAAGATCAAGTTTTTTTTTAATGAGATCTATAAGAATATTTCCTTGAAATCTTCGTATGACCATTAAGCATTTTTTCTGCGCCTGGTAGTTATGGCCATTTTACCGAGAGGTGACATACAAACAGACAATAACCAGCAGTATTCATCACCCAATCCAACATTACTTCACACTTTGGGATGCACTTTCACTTCGGCGTAAAAAAAAAAAAAAAATTGGGTGACATTTTAATTACAGCTAGTTAGTCTCCATGACTCTGACTATATATAAAAGGAAATATAATCCTACACCAGTATCCCTTAATTTCTGCCAAATACATTCCCTTGCTCAGATTTTTCCTACAGGGCAAGCATGATTTTCTCACTTACATATACATACATATGTGTATGTTCATAACTATATACAAATTAAATAAATTATTTTAAAATTAAAAAGCGAATTTTTTATATATTTTATTTCGTTTTCGAATTGTTTCCCAACTGACCCCATTGCCCTGGCTATCGAATGCCTAATTATTATAAAAGAAGGCCTTTGGGTTAAAGTGTAGCAAACATTCATTCATTTCCAAGTAAACACCAATTATAGATATAAATTTTAATTGCAACTCACATTGGAATAATGGCTTAATCCGGTATATCTCTCCCTAATAAGTCGCTCTATCAATCGCCAGTGCTTGCAATGATTACAAGTATTATCAATTTTCCTGTTCTCATCATTTTCATAAATTTTTACAATCAGCGACCAGCAGCGGAAAATTTGAAACTTTAACTTTTTAATTTGACAATTTCAAACATTTTCTCCTTTAACACACCCATTCAAATTAGATCTCACGCGGTATCTTTGCTCTTGCTTCCACCCACGTAAATACTCAACTAAGTAAAAAAACCTAAAAGGTAAAGCATGTTTACATTAATGGTGTAAATTACGAGGGCCTCGTTTGCTGAAAAAGTTATCACGAATTCGACCAAATATTTGTACGAGCGCTTGCATTGTATGGAGGCACCCACAAGTACTGAATTGAACTGTATTTCTGCTATGAGAATAGCAAGGTTCACGCCAAGCCCTTCCGCAAAGTCCACACGATGCAATAACACTTCGGGGACGTTTAATTGAAAAGGATTTGTATACGTTGGGAAGGCATTTTCACGTAGTCGATAGGATTTCGGGATATATATGTGATACACTCTCGTTGTAATATATTTATTCCTTCCAATTAATTTTTTTGAGACTGACAAAGTAAGCATTCGGATTTAATAATCGAAGAGTTTCTGCTATGCAATGTTCGGAACTCTAACGAGAAGGCTGAGATAAGTTGGTTGCTATGACCTTGGTAATGGTGTTCCATACGACACAAGAAAGTGTTATTTAAGGTGGCTTCACACGTGTCATTTTGGAGCTTTGATAAAGTACTGCAATTCATTGCTCTTTAAGCGGGTGCATTTACTTATCTAATTTGCATACAAACTTACTCACTCAAGTGCGTGGAATTTGTTTAGACAAATCATCAAAAATTTATTAACCAGCGTGGGGCGTGTTGGTGCTCCACCCTAACGCAAATGCGACAAGTATTTCACACCTCATGCACATTTCAATTAAATTAAGAGCCACAAATATTTGTTCGAACAATACCCAAACATATGCACACACACGCATACACTCTCAGATACATATGTACATACAAGTATTTGCATTCGCTGTCAAGTCGTTATTGCTACGCCATCGATTAACTTGTAATTGCTGTCAACGAATGCAGCTAATTGCATGTGAAATCGTAAAAGCAAATGCGAATAAAAGAAAAAATGACAAAATGTTTAAATCGTCAGCCGGAGTCGTTTGGCCGTAAAAGCAAACATCACAAAAACCGCAAACCAAGAATGAAGACGGTTGAATTGCATCATTTGACACACTTTCTGAGCAGCGGTATTTATGGAAAGTGTGCTACTGACATACACACACGCGTACTTAAGTTTTTCGGATTCGCCTCAAAAGTCCATCTGGATGTATTAGTGCAATAAAAAACCAAAAATTAACATGAAAATGAATTCTACTAGCACTCTAAATTGGTCAAAAATTATATTCTGGTGACAACTTAAGAACCACTTTCCTTGTATCTATCGATGAGATCACTTATCTGATATTCTTCCTTTTGTAATGAGGTTATATATTTATGTATTTTTTTTTCTTTGCAGACATCAATTTCCTAAAGAATCCTAAATTCGAGCAGATCTGTAGCGTCCAGCAAGAGCATTACATCGAGAGCGACGGCAAAGAGTCTAGTCTAATACTTGAATTTGCACCCGGCGTTTTAGCCGAGAAGCGACATCTGTGCACGCGCATTCTCAGCGCTCCTGCCAACTATGGCTTCATCGTACGCCTTATTTTACCAAAGATACGACGCAATCGCCATGGCGCTGCGCCTAAGACTAACGCAGACGATGTTGTCGGAACGGCGACCAGCAGCGAGGGAACATCAGGCACAGCTACAGCAATACGCGCAGCGACAGCGTCGGCAGTAGCTGATGGAGCAGATGCAAACTCTGGACCGTCTGGCAGTGGTATGCCTGTACTTAGCGGTATGACGTCTTTGATCGACAAAATCAATGCAACCGTTAACAAGTCAGCAAAGCCGACGAGATCGTGCCCGTTGTCAATTGTGAGTATTATGTTTGCCCTTTAGTTTTACTTAGAACTTTTTTATTTGCATCTTTTTGAAAACGATCTGCAATGCCTGATGAAACCCTTCACACAACCCTTCAGAAAAACAGTCATTGGGTTTCTTAAAAACTAATAGTTCAAAGTTTGTTAAAGAAGGAGATTCAGCTTCATTTTAGAAGGGATAAGTTCATAATTTTATGAATATTAGACTAATAAGTAAAGAAGGAAAGGAGACCGTATAACATCCATACTTGTATTGTAATGAGCCACAGCCCTTTTGTGGGTAATTAGTATTGTATTAGATATTACAGTTATGTGAAGGTTATGTTTACATAGACCTATGATATTCACTCTCTGACATACCGTTGACTTTCGTCACAGCTCACATTATTATTTCTACAATGTCGGAAGTGCTAAACTCCCTCAGCAATTTTGTGTACAATGCAGCTTCAGCAAATGCCCAATTAGAGTCTTTAGCTGAAATATTTTGCCTCAATATCGAATGGTTAGACTCTATTACCGAACAAGTATGTTTCGTCTGCACTAAAAATAAGCATAATCGTACAAGGCTTTGGCGCTGAGCTAAATCTGGCGCTGCTTTGGTCATCCCCGCCTATTTGTGTGTTGTATTTTAGGTTGGACTGATTTGCGTGTAATTAGCGAGTTACTAATTTGATTTTCCAATTTGCCTTTCTTACTTTTCGGATATGTGGATTTTGTAGCAGTTTCTCATCTAAGCGTTGGAGTCAGACGCACAAAGTTGTTACGAATATTATATAAACAAACTTATTAAAAATCTTAGTAAAATGTGAGAACTTTAAGCTCAAGTATTGTTTATTTTTAGCAAGCTCACATTTCTACTCTTACAGCTTACGTATTTGCTAAGCGCTTATACTTGTAGGTACGTGTATAGGTGTACAGTGGTAATGCGATAACTTGAAAATTGCCAAATGCGTTTTTTCTTTTAAGCCGATTTCAGTTTCAATATGAAATAATCTCATTTTCATGCCGAACCAGAAAGCGCGGACGGTGTATATGTGAGTATACTCATCTATTTGCTATACAAGTATACTCTTACAAATGTATACATATGTGCCTTATTGTACTTTGCGCATGCGCACGTAAATTTCGCACGGTTTCGTGCACATTCAGTCAGCCATTGCTGCTGTCACTCAGTCAACCTGTCAGCCAGTCAGTTAGTCAGTCGACGGCCCGACAGCAATCAGCTCACCTTTTGGGTTACGCGTGGTTGGCCAAAAGTAGATGATGAATCACGGCGAACCCTATATCGCCAGCGCATTTTAGACCATTGCATGTACAAATTAATATAATCGAATGTATGTGTGAGTTAAGGTATTTTCGGCCCCTGCATTTTGCTATTTTTCCTCAAATTCACGAATTTGTTGGTTTTCTAAGCTCAAATGTGTTGTCCGATATTGTCCGCTTACAATCCGGTGTGCACTCGCATGGTTTAATACCATCAGGGTTGAGGAAGGAAGCTATTTGCTTTCTGCAGACAACCGGACCGCATCGGCGGGGTACAAGTGTATGCTCTTCAAGTACAATCTTACGAATATATATAAAAATGAGTATATATGAAATTTGAAATGCTATTTCTTTATGTACCTGCGGAACGTCCGTACCACAGTACGGAATGACGAGAAAATTTGCACAGTTATTTGCTTATTCCTGCAGAAGGTGCTAACGGAGACCTTTGTTGCCAAATCACCGTCGATTTTGCAAACTATATATATTGAAGAAGATATTATAACACCATATATAATATATCTCGATTAATTTAGGTGATACAAACAACCGTTGGGTGAACAAAACTATTATGCTAAGTAGCAACATGTTGAGAGTATAAAAAGAAGCTTAGCAGGGCACACTGGATACAGTTAGTGTAAAATAAAATTCGGATTTTCTTTTCTAAATAGACCAGCGAACAAACAGAGGCCACATACACCACATTTAGTTTGTCTATCGGTCGGTCGGTGTTTGCTCAAAATCATCAGCTGAAAAAAATAACAAAATTAATTTTAGCATTGAAGTGAGTAAGCGAGTTCTATATTCGAATTGGAATATGAAATCACAATAAGCGGCATATGCGTTTATCCGTCTTTTAAAGCGGCTGTCGAAAGGGCTATAGTACTAAATAACTCAGAATTTTATTTCATACATAACATTTTGTAATTCTCTAGCCTCAATTATTGTCTACGCATATTACTTTCAAAATGTTTCTTAATTGTGCAAATTCAAATCAGAACATTTATGTTCCTTTTGTTGGCCTTTTATCTTTGATGACACTTAATTATCAGCTTATTTAGCTTCTGCTAAAGTCGATACACTTCTTTTTGTTTTATTGTTGTTTTTGCAATTAATTACATCCAACAACACATGTTTCCGCCAAGTTGACGCCTTCGTTAAGATTATTTCTTTTGCTTTGTCGCATATTCTTATTTGCTCCGCTTGTATTTTTATTGCGCGTACAAATGTACGTATGGATGTATGCACATATATGGACAGACATGGACAATGAAATGAAAATTATTATTAAAATGATCTCATTCTCACCTTGAATTGCTTCAGTTTGGTGGCAGTCAGCAGTTGGTGGCGCTTCACCTTTGAAACAGTTGTAATTTTATTTATTTATGTTGTTGTTGTTTTTGTTTGTATAAACAGAGATGCATTTGGCAGTAAAATCATTTGGCCCTGAATGAAACAATTGTAAACAAGATAATGGCAAGGAAACGAAGGTGTGCTGCTACTACGCACTCTCTTCTCACAACGAATTAAAAATATTCATTCAATTTGATATTTGGCGCAAACATACACTCAACTGCATCGCAATATCACTATAACTTATTACTTAAAAACATGTTATCTGTCGACGCCTTTATAACACTCCCATTAATTGGTGTGGAAGACGAAATCAAAGGAGCGTCAAGCAATAGTCCGAAATGAGAAGAAAGTCATATCAATTTTGAAAATAAACGTTAAAGTGCGATTCGCTCCACGGGAATCTCATTAGCTAGCCTGTTCAATTGTTTTATTTTCTCTCTATAAATATGTTTATACCTGTGTATGTATGTATATACATAAGCTCCTTTATAATAGTACAATAGTAGTTATGGTTACTTTACGACCCAACGGCGCTGAAAACTTCGCATGAATGAAGCAGGAAGCGTTGCCAACCGTATTCAAAACGGCTTTAACCCAATATCTTTTGTTTTTAAAAGCGCTGCAAGCCTTATTTGCATACATTTCCATACAATGGCCCCAACTACTCCGGTCGCATTTGTGCCTGCATCTGCCAGTGCCTTAATATTTAAGAAAACACACACTCTTTGTTTACTCATCGGCATAGGCAACCAGTTCGTTAGCCAAGCCGCGTAGCGGACCAGGCCGACGGGCGTTGAGTTGGCCTAGAGCTGGTTTCATACTCCAAACAAGCGTGTCTTCCACGTCCGACCGCTTAGCTTGACGCAAATACAACAACTAAATGTAAAAATATAACTAATTTTGATTTATAAGTAAGTGAATTTCGGTAGCTTGAATCCAGGGTCCAGCTGAGCCTTGTTTCTACACAATGGGCGGAAGTTGGTTGAACATGCGTGTTTAAAATATATGATAACATTTGTGAGTTGGTGGATTTCGTGCAAAGATTTCAAAAGCCATTATATAATTTGTGGTTTATTTTTTATCTTATATCTCTTCCCTCTTGGTATCTAGTCTTCTAAATTAAACACACCCACGCAAGTGAGAGATTATATTAGAAACATATTAGCATTATATTACAGACTTTCTCCATTCAGGCCTAAAGCAAATAAGCCAAACTGCAAGCAAATATCTCTGAATCCAGCCATGGACCATGGGGCATTATCTCGAGAAGAATCCGTATCTACACGGAACACTTTGTGACTCACATCTTGAATGAGTATACTCCAGCTGATACTAGTGAAGCACTATTGCCTACACACACCCACACATAACCATATGGTTTTACAATCTACCGCTGTAGTCCGTATGCGTTCGCTTATTCCGTATTTCATTTCGTATGCAAATAGACGGGCGGCCGACGTGCGCAACCTTTAAGTGTGAACATAAACTCTGAATTCAATGCAGACACATACATACATACAAATATACGTTAATTTTTATTACATCAGAGCTTAGCGAAAAAAGAAGAAGAAACAATCTAAAAATAGAACAATGCCAAAAATAAAGCGAATCTTCGGCAAAAAATTAGTTATTTGCCCAAGGGCCTGAAATGAACAGTAAATGATGCAATAAATAGCAACAATAAAATATGACTACTAAAATATAACTGAAGCTAGTTCGCGGCAGCAACAATGCGTCAGCGGAAAAATAAGCGTAGCATTTGAATTTGTCCAGCAAGCCACAACGCGCCGCCCCCGTGGGAGTGAGCGCTAGTATACTTCTGCGAGGGCATGTGGGTGTGTGCGAACGCTTGGGAGCTGTTCGCGACTCTGGCCGTCAAAGTGTCAGGCCAGCTTGTCAATCGCTTTGGTTTGCATGCGATGAATGAAATTTCGTTTTGCCTGGCACACGACTGGTGGGCGGTTGGATGTGGCACATTAATTCATGCACACAACTACGCACGCACTTGCACACATACTGCCGCAACGCCCTTAGCAGGAAAACGAACTAGCTGGAAGCTGCTTCGGTTCTGAAGTAATCAGACGCATTACGATATACATACAGAATGCTCAAACTCGCATTTGGCGAGAGCGCCACCTTCTCATCGTTACTACTCAGTGAGCTTCTCACTAATTTTTTAGAGTTAAGAGTACTTTAGAATTTAGCGAATCCGGAGCTCATCAAAGAATTTTCTGCAGGGGGTCTTTTCGTACGAACGTGTGCTATAAATAAGTCATGAATTGAGTAGTCAAAATGTTTGATCTATTGGCCATAAAATAATTGTGCTCTACCGAATTGCATACTTTACGATTGTTATTGATTTTACATGTGTGCGCACCCACACACATACACATACACATACATATGTAAATTGTATGTGAGTGAACACTTGGTCATCCTCCAAGCCGCACGCTCTGGCGCCAGAGCATTCGTAGGCGTGGGCGCTTTAATGTTCAGATGATAATGTTTTTTCCACGCCAAATCTGGTTGGTTTTTGTTGATTTGCATATTTACCTTCTTGAATATATAAATATTACTTTTGACTGCGATACTTTTTCAATGTTCAATAAAGAGAATAAAAGTTTTGCGACAAATATATTTTATTTACAAAAACATTGGAAACATTTAAAATTTATTGTGAGATCAGCTTTTCATTAAATAAATAAATAAATACCTAAAAGAAGTGAAAAACAAATCACATACATAGAGATGGCTACAAAGCGCTTCCTAGTCGCTTAAAATGTTACTTTTCAAAACAGTGCTTGTACTGTAATCTATCTGATTAAGATGGGTCTTGTTATTAGCTGCCAACCGATTACTAAGGCTGATGTTGAACCTTGGACCTGCTTAGGGATAGTGAACGCCTCTGACTTCTAATCCACGTGTTCTGATGACCAACCCTTCCTTATTTGTTAGTGATTTGTCGTCGCCCCACCTTTTTTGGTCCATTTACAGATTTATCACAAACACGCCAACTTACATGCTGCTGCCGTAAACAGAACAATGAGTTCTCCTCTGAACAACAGAAACAAAAACCATCATCTAATGTTATGACAATTTACTTGGGTGAATGTTATTGTTTATTTAAAGCACGTTCGCAATTAATTGAAATCATGTCGCTTTGCGCCGTTGTTATTGTTGTGCGCCGAGAATGTTTCGTACCCATTATGGTTAGCAATATGCGACTTAATTATTCTCCTATAAGCTCTTACAAGCATTCTTTAGAAGATATCTTGTAACCAACATCAACTGTCTGGAATAATAATAAAATAAATTTGTTTTTGTTTTGGTTCTGTCTTGATCACAGTTCAGCTCTTTGGACTTCCATACGCCGCAATGGCGACTCGACCCTTGTCTGTTGGAGGACACAGCGCCGGAAATGGATGATCCCGTTCGGTTGTTTCATGGGCGCGTGCGCATTGTCTGGGAGCACGGTCACCACAAGCTGCATTCGAAATTGATGGTCACCGCCTTGGGCAAGGGCGAGCAGTGCCGCAGTGAAAAGAAGCATCAATGCCTAAAAATCGGGTAAGTTGTTGGCCATTTACATATCCATATATGTACGGAATACTTGATTTAATTTTTCTTTTTTATTAATCTTGGGTTTTTACAGTGACGAACCAATTCTCTGCATTTCTAAAGATCTCGTTTGTGACGGCATTCGGCATTGCCCGGTTAGCAATGAATACGATAGCGATGAGGACTATGAAATGTGTTGGAAGCGCCGGCGCTACGGTGAGCCAATACCACCTGCCATGGAGACCGATATTTTCGAACACTTTGCCTTGGAAGTTTTTCGCAATTTATTTGCCTTCGATGTGCCGACTCAGAGCGAGACAACGACTCCGACAGCTATTACTACGGATGCCGTGTCTACGAATGAGGGTATCGCAGGCAGTATGAATAGCACAACATTGCGCAAAGTGAACTCAAAACAAATGGATCAGTCCGGTTCTAATGATACAAGCAAAAGCGCGAATAATGCTACAATGAGTACAGCGCAAACTGAAACGAATGCTACTGAAAGCTCTGGCGGCCATCACCGTCGCAATTCGACTCGATCTGGCCTCAACTCGGATCTCTCGAAGTACGGTCCGTGGGGTTATCTCATGCTGGGCATGCTTCTGTGTGGAGGCGCCTTGCTGATTTGTGGACTTTGGGGTAAGTTTTAGAGGATTTTCGTGCTTTTGCTTGTCTAGCTTTGTGCAGCTGTGGTTTGTTCCATTCGAGTAATGAATTTTCTCTTTATATTTTGGTTTTTTTAACTCAATCATCACATTCAATAACAACTATATACAACACGCTGCATTCCAAAAACACCTACACATGAATTAACGTTCCCCGAACGAAACTCTTTACTCCTTTTTGCTTTACATTATTATGAACACCATCCTCTATTCCAAACAATAACGTCCACAAAACCTGAAACGCCCACAACACTCGCATAAATACTTTTATTTCAATAATTACTTCGTTATCCACTTTCATTGGTCTATTTTCTTCTTTTTCACTTGCTTGCTTGCTCTAATTGCTTGACACCTATACACAAAACAAATGATCTTGATCGGTCTGTAAATAATTCAAAATTTGGAATTGTTGCGTTCCACAATTTGAACTAAATACAAAAACAACACAAACTAAATACAAAAACATTTAAAAACTGTGACCCATCGATCCACACACAATCCACATCTTGAAAATATGAGTACGGAACTCAATTTCAAAAATTCTTTGCAATTTGTCCTGGGAAAATTATTACAAAATTGTGATCAAATATTTAACACACTAACGAAATAATTTTCTTCGCACATATCTCCATTTCCATCCCTTCATCCACCCACCAAATTTCAAATTGACATCCGATTTTTACACCTCCGCCTTATTTCCTTCCTTCCAGTTTGCTGTTGTCGCTTAAGCTTTCACATTCAAACCATCCGTTCACTTTCAGCCTCCGCCTCCCAGCACGCGACGCAAAACGAACGCGAATCAGCGCTGCAGACCAGTGCGGCTGCCGCAGCTAATGATCTTCAGACGGGCAGCGCATCACCACCCAACTACGAGGAGCTCGATCCGCCGCCCGCCTACTCGGTACTCTTCCCCAACCAAAAGGCGGCTTCCAGCACAACCCTAAGTTCCTTGGGCGCTGCAGCGCTCATGCCGCCGACAATAGCCGCCGTAGCCGTAACAACGCCCAATGGTACAGTAATGACAATGCCCGCCGGAGGAGAAGGCGCTGCAGCGCCCTCTACAGCAACAGCAATGACAACATCCGCTGCAGCGTCCGTCTCGTCAGCAGCTAGCTCTACAACAACGCGCGTACAGCTCGAGAGTGCAACGTGCAGCTCGCAAGCTCACTGATGACAACTGAGAGCCCGTGTGGTACCTGGAAAAGCGACGTCGCCTAATATTACTAAATACTATAGCGTAGAGAAGAAGTTTTTCTGATTTTCCAAAAAAACGACTGACTTTTTAGTTCGATTTAAGATTTAATTTAGCAATACAATAATTAACGAGCTCATTTGTAAGGTTAGAAATTCGAAAGGATATTTTTATATATTTTATGTGAATGTGTTGTGCCCCAATATATTGTTCTTGTAGCCGAGCCTTTTTAAAGTTGTGGAAGCTTCAGGAAAGTTAAATCATTGACCGAATTAGAGAAAGCACATAAAACTTAATTTTCACTGTATAATTTGGCTAACGTTATGGATAGTTTTAAAAATACTCGACTACCAAACTTAATCAGATTAAATATTTGAAGCACTCTTTTACCCATGTTTTAAGAAAGCTTTATCTGGAATTCAAATAAGCAGACGAAATTCTAGTATGTGAAAGTAAACTATAGCTTGAAAAGAGCGAAAGCTACTAAGCAGCATATGATCGGTAGTTCCAGCTGCTTGCGGCTTTTTTCATTATTTGACATCCCTTAAATTTCGCTTTATCTCTTAATCTTACATTCTTATCAACTTGGTTTATTCTACCATAGCAGGTTGCAACGCGAACACAACAATGAGCGAGTATAAATAAATCTAGGTTAGGTAATAGTGTCAAATGTCCATAGAATGAGAGCAGATCGTTGTGTAATTTAATTAGTTATTCTAAATAGAGGTTAACTGGATATCTGTATGTATTTATGTGTATAAGTGCTAATATGCATACTGGAGAAATGTAATGTAAAACTAATACTAATTTATTGTAATGTGATATAAGTTAAAGCGTATGTCGACGAGTAAGCAAAATTATAAATGCAAAGTAGATACTTAGTAGGAAAATAACAAATCAACAACAAGAATAAATATGATACAAAATGACTTATACAAATAAAAATTGAAAAAAAAAAATATGCGAAAATTCAATTTCGAGGATCTTAGCCCCGAGGGGTAGCCCCTTTATCAATGTATGAAAACTGTGCTTGAGCAAAGGCGAATGTGTTGAATAATCGTTCTGTGTGTTGATCATTCTGGATTGATTGGGGATTTTTAGGCTGATCGTTAAAAACAATTGAACATTTTTTGTTTGTTTTAATAACGTGAATGTTTTTTTCAAGACTTAAAAGATGACGTATATAAATCAAACTGACACTTCTACTTACCTTAAGCGAATCGGTGTGGAACCTATGTGAAAATATTTAAAATAAGCGATCTTCTATTTTACAAAACTGTTCTCACATATATATGAAAATGCATGTTCGGGCCGTACATTTTCAAAAAATCCGAATAGATTTTTATTTTACGAATCCCTCGCAAGTATTTCAAAATAAAGCATAAAATACGATGACAAACTGTCACGAATTCAAGTGTTATTTTCATAAACACGCGAAAGTAAACTTATATTACCGATGACTTTGGTCAGAGATATATAATTCGATTAAATAATTGATGATTTCTGGTAAGGGCATCATATTTTTACGAGACCTCAACGGTTTTTTACAACTCTCAGTTTCGATAAATTGCGCCAAAGTGCTGATATCTGAAGTAGGATTTGCCCTTGCATACTGATGTTGCGGATGTTGGCCCCTTACACACTGGTGGCTAGAGAAATAGAAAGCCCCACCGAAACAAAGAATATTTGCTTGCAATTGTTGTCATCATTTATTATTTTTCATAATTTTTTCTCAATAATTTCTTAATATGGTTTGCTTTAGTTCCATTCTGTTGCAGTCCCATATAGCATTTAATTTGAAATCAATTATGAATGCATGCCATTTCGATATTTAAGCTTTTTTCCTCCATTACTTAATTTAAGTACACATAAGATTCTTGCACACACATAGATTTCACATTTTGACTTATACACTAGTTGCTCAGCATGAGAGAATGCTCATTTCATTATTTATTTATTTGTGTTCTTTGATATTTGGAGGCTTTCTTTACAAGTTTCTGGGTGATTAGTTAAATAATTCTGCTTTCTTCAATTTGTTTCTAAGAAATAATGTAAATATGGTCATGTGACATGCAACAATGATATGAATATTCCATAATAACAACAAATGTTTAGGTACTTTATGATTTGTGACGGTGAGGGGATGCGGAGTGTATTCATAAATTGATTAAACCTTTTGCTTTTTTTGTATTATTTCACACAATTGTTTGTGATCTGGGCTTAATATGTTGGGGAAAATGCGGAAATGACGCATGGTTTGATGGTTACAACTTTTCCAACACAATTTTTCTCTTTTGTTAAGAACTTTTTCTACTTTTCCATATCATCTTCGCTGCTTTTGAAAAAATTTTTGTTGTTTTTAATTTTAATGAAAGGAAAATTTTAGTTAAATTTGATAACTTTGCATTGCTAATTGCAATCAACTTTATTCTGTGCGGATTTGAAAATTTATCCAAAATATTTAGGTTGAAGGGCTTGCTAAGTTTCATCCATAAGTGAACTGGGGCGTTCCTACATATAAAATTTGGATCGGGAGTGTAAAAGACCGAGGGGGTTTACTGCAAGCCTACACAATGAAGCTGGCCTGCTTTTAGGTGCTGCAGTTTTCTAAGAAATGGTGGAGGAGAGCTTCAAATTGTCATTTTGTTGTTGTTGTCTTAATTTGGTTTTCTGTATTTTTTGAGTCATTGAATAACTTTTATTCGTGTGTGCAAACGGCCAAGTTTTGATTTACTTAAACATAGATAATTTGTTAATATATTATTTTTGTTAGCTTAGCCTTGCTTAAATCTAGATTTATTAACTATTTCAGTAATTACGCAAAGTACTATTTGTTGTTCTTAATTTAACTACTACTATTTAGTCTGCTAATGCCAATTGCAGCTTGTGTCCATACACGTATATTTTCATAATAAATTTTAATTTTTCTCACATTCTGGTACACCCTGCTGCCTGCTGCTGCTGCTGCCTTGCCCCGTGCATCGGTGCGCAAGTTGGCGGCAGTCGCCAGGCGAGCAAGGTGGGATGTGTTTAATTTTTTTCATTCATAAGAATTGGGCGTTCATTTCTTTCTTTGTTCATAAAATTGTCTTTAATTTTATTATATTTATATATAATATTACAAACATACATACATTCAACAACAACGTCATTTGTATATTTTCATAAGAAAGGAGTGATCTAGGAAAAGTTTGTGAATGAAATGCAAAAATTCTAAAACCCTAACAACGTAAATGTGCTTTGATTGAGTCCCCAACTTCATTTTTTCGTCGTTTTTTGAGGTTAGAAAATTTTAAAATGAGAAAAGTATCAAACTGTGGCAAACAATATTGGCCTAGTCTTATGTGGGTTACTATATGTCTCTAAAAAATTTAAATTAAATGTGAATGATTTCTATGAACTTAAAATCTGCGCTGCCCAGTAATCGAAATTCGAACATATAGAGAAATAGAGTTTTCAAACCGAAACTATGGTATATTCCCTCAAGTTAAGTTTGGTTGCGTCACTAATCTTAACTGTTCACTTTGCTGCATCTCATTTCTCAGTGAAATATACTCAATTCAATGAGGAGATTCAGAAGCAATGAGGGAATCTTACGAAATTGTGTAGCTAAGTGAGTTCTTCGAACCACCAGATAACATTTTGGTTTGAATATGGCATTTGCTTGCATTATAATCGATTTCCTCAGTGGCCTTAGTCATCTTAAGCTATATTTGAAACGATTTTGTAATTGGCTTAGAGATCAAATTGCGTATTATATTTTTCAAATAAATTTAAGGTGCTGTGCGTTTTTGAAGAATATTGACAGCTTAATAAGAATTCTTGATGCGTCACAAGCCTTTAATTCAAAACTTATACAATTGAGTTTTGGCATTTGAAAGGAAAAGTGATTTTGAACTCGTGCTATACTTTAATAAAAGATGAGGATGAATGAAAAGAGTATATGCGTGTTGTGGTTTAAGCATTCATCGCTTTAAGGAGATATTTTAATAAGCTTGAAACTTGGGTTTTTTATGGAAATTTTGAAGGGTTATTAGGTTCATGTAGATCCTATTCTTTGCGTAATGAGTTTATATATTCAATAAGTTTCAAATATAGTTTTGAAAATAGAAAACTTACAATGAATTTATGGAGAAAGTGGCTTATTTTATACATATGTGGGTCTACAAGCAAAATCCTAAATTTATTCCTGTACATTTGTACAATAATAAAGGTGTAAGTTAAACACTCCGCTCGCTCAATGCAAAAATCTAAAATGTCAAGAGTGTGTCTTTATCAAATTACAACAACATTTAATCTGGATGCGCTTCACTTAGCAATCAGCTTGTCGTCTTACAAATTGCGTTTCTTAGTTTTGTTTACGTTTTTTGGTTGTTTGTTTTGTTTTACTTGCTGAAAAATAAGGCCCGTGGATACACTATAAAAAAGCGAATTCTAAGTACTAAGTTCATCGTTTGGTTTCTAATCGTTTTCGTTCAAATGTCAGCAATAAGATTTGCAATAAGATTTGCTAAAATGCGTTTTGTGGTTCTCCATATTTTCATTTACCTAATTACTTACACTCTAGAAGGGCTTCTTAACCATAAGCTAATTCTACAGATTTCTTAAACTAAATTGTTTTAATTATTTATTTAAATTTTTCTTTGTGTTTTGCTTGTAAACATTCACTTGTCAGTTATATTTTAAATATCGCAATATTACTTTTCATTTTGCATGTACATTCTTCCTTTGTTTAACATTAAACATTCAGCTGTGCTGAGAATTCTAAGTGCTGCGAGTTCTTCTAACATCTACTTTGCATATGCTTAACCTACGATCAGCTTTGCTCAAACTGCTTTTATTCCTAATCAATATTTTATGATCGGTTGCCTTTCCATTAGCATTAGCATTACAGTACCGTTGTAATTTTATCCTATCTTCTATTTATGAGCTGCAGTCAAATAACTGTTGCAATAAATATGAATTCATTCAAAGTTTTGGCTTTCATAGTGGAATGCCGAGCTTTCAAGTTGTTTTTACAACCGTCAAGCTTTCACACATGCTCGTACAGCAGAGCTTTTCACCTGTGAATGCGTAACTTTCATATTTACACCATTTCCTAATGCAACCTGTTTAACAGTCCTATCATTTAGTTTCAATGCTTTCTTAGTTTTCAAATTGTGTTAGATTGTATTTAATTGGAAAATGTGTTTGGTTATGTATGCAAGTCTCCAAAAAAATAATTGTATTTATCAAATTGTTGTTGTCATTTTTGGTATAAAAAATAGAAAAGTTTATAAACGTTTATATATTTGTATTGGAAAAAAATTTATATTCATTACATTATGTATGTTAGCTTCAATAAATATTTGTTGCTTTTGCAAAAAGTGTTTCTAAACTCCGGACTAAGTTCATATCAAGGTCTGCCTTCTACCGTTGCAGCGTTTACTACAAATGCACTTACCCAAATACAATTACATACGACTCGTAGATATACAATTTGTTTATTTTTTAAGTAGGAATTTTGGATATGACTTTTTTCTTTCAATGATGATTCATTCTAAATATGGTTGTATAGTTGTGTAAATATATTTTTGCTTTTGTATATATTTAATGATTGTTTACCAATATTTAATTATTGTTTTATTTTGCTTTTTCCTTTCGTGTCGAATTAAGTTTTTTTTTGTGTTTTTGTGATTGAGAGAACGTGGAGAGCGCATTTTTAGTAACTAGATTTCCAGTAAGTAATTACTTCCAATTGGGATTTCCAGAATATTACATTAAACGAACAAAGTGGGAAAAGAAAGAAGTTTAAAAAAGAAAATAGAAAATTGGAAAATTAATGGAGGGGCCCATCTGAAATTAAAATAAATGACAAAAAATTGTGATATGTTGTTCAAAAAAGTCCAACGGAATCGGCTCTCAGTATTCATTTCAAGTAATTTAAAAACTCAATGGACCCTTACTAAACTCATACTGCATTCCTGTGTGTAAACAAGCCGTGAGGCTGGGCCAAGAGCCGAAAAGAAATGGAGTAGCAAATAATAATAAAATAAAGCGAAGGTAATACTCAAAATCACGCAAAACTTTCTCTTTGTTGTTTATATATATTTCTGATGGAAGCTTTCAAATAATTACCGTTAATGCCTGGAGATCATAATGCGATTTTAATGGGGCAGCTCCAACGCACATAAATAAGTTTACGCACGAGCATTTCAAAGCTGCTTCTCACTGCACTACGTTTATCCACCGCTTCTTCTTGCTTTCTTCTTGAAAATATTTACCTATTTCTTGATTATACTATATTCTATGATATACAGTTTTTCTATGTCATTTACTTTATCACATCAATTTTATTTGATGACTTTCCATTGGTATAGTGTTGCTGACTCGACCCAAATACGTTTGTACTCACGCGATCCAAGTTACACCAGGCGATACATAGTCCCCGATTGAGACTTATTATTTTACCCTCAGAACTTGCTATGGAGCTGTATGATGCTGACTAAACCGAAACCGAAACCGAAACTGAAAATTTGTGAAATGTTAACATTCTAAAGTCGCTGAAGAAGACGATGTACGAATACACATCGTTCTTTTAATAACGAGAGTGACACGAAGTCAATATTAAGGTGTTGATGATGCCGTTGATGATTGATCCTACTTACAAAGATGGAAATTGTATTTTTCGATATTGAAGCTAAAGGTAGGGACTGAGTGCGGAAATTTTTGTATTTATTGTATGGCTGCCATCAAGTGACGCGAAAAATACGTGTTCCTCCGGCTTTTCTTTATGTTTCGCTAAAATTAGCTATTTGTGCATTTCACCAGCGCCATTGCATTTCCTCTGTCTAAAATCTTACCTTCTTACAAAGTACACATTCCCTCCCTGGCCGCTTCCGTGATCTACGTCTTTATCCGCCTCATTTTCATTTCAAAACTTATGAGTCTATTTCAGCTTCGAGTTCATTTCACCAGCTCCTTTCAGCCCAGGTGTTCCTAACAACCGCCATACCATGGAAAGGTCCAGCACCATCAGTGCGGAGGCACCACCGGTCGCGTCATGCCACCGAATTTATGTCGTGATTGTGGTTTCTCGACCATGTAGTCTTCATACGTGTATAGCGGTGTAATTTTTAGACCCGTTTTTTCGGGTATAATTTTGAATTGCGGCTGATCGGTACTAACCAACATCGGCCGCTTCATTGAGTGCATGTACTCAGAATGTTGGGCACCTAGAGGGCGACGGCTAGTCGGGACGTTCATTTTCTTGCACGGCTCGGGTTTGGTATCAACGTTCATTTGGCAGTTTTGGGCTGAATACTTGTTTGGCTTATAGATGGAGAATATGTTATTGATTAGACTGAGTGCTGAATGACCACCGGCGGATGGGTGAGGTCCACCGGTGGTAGGCTGTTTGGTCTGCACTTCGTGATCTGTGTAGAAGTTGTTATATTTGTATGAGGGAAGGCTATCTGCGACCGGGTATACTTTGTGGCCATAGTTGTAGGCGCGGTGGAGGGGCGAGCCAGCTTGTTCAAAAAAATGAAAGTCACCTGAATTGTTGGCGCCATGATGTAGTGAGGAGCCGTCTGGCGCCGACGACTCCACTTGTGGCGGAGAGGGCATGCCCTCGAGTAGCGATTTCTTAATCATCATTCGTTCTTGCTCACGATCATGCATATCGATGGGCTGGCCGTTGTTATAGCAACCTACACTGACATTTTTCGCCTTTAGGTTGCTTTGCATATTGCGACGCTGCATATCTAAATCAACGGGACTCGGTGGCTTATCCAATTCGGCCCAATATTTTTCCAAGTCTACATTAAAGTCCTCTAGGTCCATTTCGGTGGAGTCCGAGCACGTGTCATCATCATAACGACTAGGTGGTTGTACTTCCAATAAAGACTTACTACGCGCTGGACGCCTATATTGGGTTGCGTAGTGCAAATTTTGTCCAGCATTGGATAGATAGCGCTCGTCTTCGTCTAGGAATTTGTCTTGCATCAAGAGACGTTCTCGTTCATCACGAATAAAATGATCGAGATCGGTGTCGTAGGCCATGGCGCGGCAGTGTGAGTGCTCCTCTTCTTCGGCTGCTGGGTGGTGGCCGGGACAGTGTAGGCGCGAACGCGACCTGGCAATATGGCGCTGTTGCTGGCGGTGGTAGCAATAGTCATCGGCGGCACAACAGCATACTACCGTTGGTGGCGGCGGCGGTGGCTGCTCACACTCACGATCGCTGTGGCGTTCACGTTCATGATCGCGCCCACGTCCCGAGTGTAAAGAGTAGCGCGAAGCCGCTGCCACACGCTGGCTACCGCGTTCCCGTTCTTCGACCCAATCGGCTGTGGTGGAGGCGGAGGCGGTATGTAGGTTCCTGTTGCTACCACCGCTGGCGCCAGCGCTATACATGCCCACGGGCGTGCCACGGCTGCGCCATGTACGACGTCCGGCCGCCGCCGAATAGCTCGGATAGATTTCGTCAAGTAGACAATTGACGCTGGTGCATTGTTCCCGAGCGCAACATGAATGCGGCGCCGGCGGAGGCGGCGGAGTTGACGTCGGCGGTTCGTGAGTCGCATAAGCTAGCGTGCTCTCGTCAAGGCTGCTGCTGCAGTAGTAGCCCGCGGACTTGCGGAAGGCCTCTTGTTTATGGCGGCGCGTTGCGCCCGATTGCGGCAGTTCGTAGTCCATCACATCGAAGGGTGTCGTCTTAGACGTCGTGGCACTGAACGAATATGATTTGGGCACATTGGTTTTCTTCAATATGGATGTGGTACCGCCACCTTCATAGGACGTGCCACCACTCATCACATAACAACTCTGTGACTTTGGATACTGAAACTCCTTACAACTTATTGAGCGATGCAATCCATAACCGGACGAACCTTCCCCTTCACCACGCTTGCCTTTATTACCAACATCTGGCGGAGCGTCATCCAAAACATCCTCCACAAAGAACTCATCCTGTTCGCGGATGTTGCGAAGCTTACGATATGTTCCATATTTTAGGCACTCCGGCACATAGTCCTCTTCGAGATCTTCGGAGCGATTAGAATATATATTGTCTGTATACCAAGTAGGATCAAGTTGTTTCGGTTTCGGTTTAGCTTGTTGCATTCGATCTCGTTTCGATTGACGGTAACTTTCAAAGCAAATGTTTTTCATTCTTTCCAATTTCTGTTCTCTTATGCGTTCCCAGTTCTCCCAATTTTTATCATTTTTACTTCTACTACTGGCAGTGGCCGCATCAAAACTCCCATAGTACTCTTCTTCTACGCCCCCAGTGTAGTCGTCATTGTAATCGATATTTATATTTTTCATCCCGTGTTCGGCAGGAGGTGCACTGGGCTCGCGACCCAGATTGGTGTAACTCGCGCCACTACCACCATTCTCAGAGACTACAATTCTTATTCTACGTTTCGTTTTATCTAAAAGCTTTGATGACAGCGAAGATTTCTGCGGCTTGTCACGCTCAACTGGCGGCTCTTTTGGCTGTCACACCTCTTGCAGGTACTTAACGGGGCAATAGCCCTGACGATTCTCTGCAGAGCGCACCATCACCATACCGTTGACTTCGTCTCCAGTCTGCCAGGGTTTCAAAGAAAAGCAAAGCATTATTTCACCGAGATATACATTGCCTTAAATGCGAGAAATGAAAAGTTTGTACCTGTATAACTATTTGATCCCGTAAAAGCGTCATACTCTCCCCTCGCTCACCATCAGACACTTGTAAGTTATGTGTGACCTGTAACGGCTTCTCGTTGGCATTTAGACGTACACAATATTTGGATGGGAAGTAACCGACACGACCTAGCAATTTGCCCTGCCACCAGTCTGGGTCCGAGGTGTCGATGACGGTGACCTATCAAAGAGAATACTTACACGGTTACCAAGCGATTTGATTATACTTGAAAACACAAGAGCAGAAGGTTTTTAAGTATGGTGCAGACTTTGCTTTGGTTTTGTTTTTTTTTTCTTGGTTTGCCAGAAGCATAAATAAATCTGTGAGAAGGTAAAAGAGGGAAAAGAGGAGGAGAATGAAGCCAAAGAGGAATTCATGGAGGGTAGAAAGGGATTATTAAAACCCAACATCCTGTTATTGAATCGACAAAGTCTCATGCTTTCTAAGACCATTGGAAGTGTTGCTCATATAAATTCCGTTAGAGGCTGACCGCAGATTAATGAAAGCTTTTTCAAATCATTCCAATTCTAGACTATACTTTTAATTCTAAATAAATGTTATGTACTTCATTCCGCACTGCTGAATTTTAGGTATACATATTGGATATTATTATATATAATGTATTCTGCATCAAGGACTTTTCCAACTTCACCTTCTATCTTTTTGGTTTGGTGCTTGGGATGTAAAATAACTATTCACTCTTGTAGTAATTAATATAAGGCCTTGAAAATTCTCTTATTTTCATTTTATGTTCCATCGTGAACCGAATTCAATGCCATCATTCTTCGTTTAAGTGCAAAAATATTTGAAATCAGCCTCAAAGCAAAGCTGCCATTGGCATCGGTGAGTTCTATGAAACCACTAGATCGCAAAGCTTCGCTATTGAGCCACTTGTGCAGCAACACACACAAACACATGTGTGCACATACTACCGTTAAAGGTTAATAAACAAAGCGGGGAAGTTCCACGAAAGCGCAAATGGTCGGTTTAAAGAGCGCCCAGTGAAGCGATTAGCCATTAATCGTTTGAACACAAGGAAACACCCACGCCTACACACAAACACACCAACACATATAAGGTGTTGCATGTTTGCGTGTGTGTAGGAGAGTGTAAACGGGCGCTTATATTGCCAACCGATCTAACGTGCCTTTAATTCTAATCAAAAGCGCCCGAGGCAACTGCACACAACAACAACAATAAAAAAGACAAGAAATGGCTCGCAGCTGCAGCAATTATCCGCCAAGGTAGCAGAACCACCAGCAACGTGGCGCCAAGCGCTCTCCTATAAATTCCAATTGCCATTGCAGCGTTCTTCCTTTCGCTTGTTATTGTTGTTTGTGTTTGTGTTTGTTGGCGGAATCATGCATTTGTCTAGCCCTGAAGCATGCACTTGCTCATCGATTTGTGTTATTACGCTGTATTTGACGCCATTACGCTATCCTTGTTGTGATTGTTGGTCCATCGGTTTTGCTCCCACCTTGTTGCAATGCCACATTTCTCCTTTGTTTCATTTGTTTATGCTTTCGCATCTTCCTTCGGTTCTCCACTCTTCCGCAGGCACTTGCACACCCCTCCCAGTCGATATTAATCGGCACAAAGTTGCGGGACAGCTGCTGCCGTTGCAAATCAATCGCCGCCTAATAACGGCTGCGGCAATCAATTTTCACTCAAATAAGTTTACAACGGCGTTTAATAAACAAACAGCGAGATACTTGTTAGTAGTGGCTTTAGTTTGTTTTTCATATGTAACAATACGAATATGTTTTGTTTTTGTAAAATTACATTGATAATCCACAGAGATGGATGACAGTCGATTTTTGTTAAGTATTCTTTATCCTCTGTAGGGGATACTGTTTGGTGGGAAAATGCTTCTGAGTTTTCCAAGGAAATGTTCACCAATATTGAAAGGTCTTGTATTCGGACCTCTAGGCGGATTCATTAGGGACAAATTTAATATGATGAGGAAAGTTTGACTATCACAAACATCAACAAAACCAAAACACGGGTAGCGGCTGGCCTCTTTTGCGTATCAAAATTCGAAGCGGACATCTCGTCAGCCGGACAATCAATCCTTTTTTCTATTTTTTAAATTGTTTGCGCTGCGTCGCAAGTGACGTTGTATTAAGTGGGTGTTAAATATATTAGAATTCAGTTTATTCACGAACACGAACTGGCGCTATTCATTTATAACGAAGTAAAATCAAATGCTCTTCAAGCTCAGCTCAGCGCAGAAGAGCTCAACGGTACCACGAAGTCAAATAGTATACAAAAGGTGGTGATGCGCAAAGTGCACTACATTTGTTCGCGATCGGACGAGTATGTACATGTACACGGCAATACAGACAACAAGTGTGCAATGTAAGCAAAGCCAATGGAAACAAACTACTATTTTCAATACAATATTTTCTTTGCTGTCAAAACATGTAAACGCTTTCATTTCGATCGAATACCGATTATTAAAGCAACCTGGGCTCCAATGGCATCACATATTCGTTATTATAGCGATGTAGCAGATTCACAAATTCCTACAACACCTACCGATGTACCCAACACTGAAATCGGTCATTGCAATAAGACACTGACAATATTGAAATTAGCTTTACGAGAGATTGATGACCACAATAGAGAATTGGGAAATTCGGTGCATGAGCAAGTTGAAAACACTCATATTTATTGGCTTGTTTTAGCCGATGATGATACGTTACTAAGCCGATATTTATCTAGGCGACCGATACGGGTTCCATCACAACATAAACAACGGCTTCAATTACATAACCAGCGGTGGTGGTGTTGCTATGAGTTTGCCCGCTGTACGTAAATTACTGCACACATTCGCAAGATGCCGATGATATGTTGCTGGGCATGTGCTTCACCTATCTCTTTTCATAAATTTTACGATTTAGATCCAATGCTGACTACAAAGCACCTAAGTTATACAAATAAAAAATAATATCTTATTCGAAGTAATAGCGATCCTGCGCGCACCTCTTTCGCTTATCGTCTACGGGCCTGAGCGCCACATCAACTTCCCGCATTTTAGCATTTCGATTCGCTAGCGATCAGTTCTCCAAGCACCCGTATCAATCGACTCCTTTTTTCCTCAATAATTGTGCCAACGGTGAGTGAAGTTAAAATTAACTTAAAAAGTATTTAAATAGTAAGGAATGGATTAATGTCTGACTGGAAGAAAGCAGGGTACCATAGAGCGCTGTAAAATTATTAAAAATTATATCCTATTATAAACTATATCGTATTACAAATATTTCACATAGTCGTAAATGGGAAGTACGAGTTGATTAGTCGAAATTTCGGGACAGATATTCCCAATTGCATACGCTAGTTTACAGTCATTTTGCGGCTGTTTCTTGCTAATTTTGGTTTGCTAAAACCGAAAATGATAGTAAAAATTTCCTAACACGTAAACTTTTTGTGCTGCAGTCAAGAGGTGTAGGAGTCAAACCACCAGCATTTACTACAATAACAAAAATAGCTGTACGTGTTAGAAAATTTTTGAACTCAAATTCGTAATCAGGAAACCTCAAATACTCTTAGCTCATCAGTCGCAAGTGGTAGTGATATTTTTGAGAGATATATTGTGTATTCGAGTATAGTTCTGGCTCTTGTTGGAGATACTTAGTCGAGTTGTCTTTATACATTTAAACATTTAACACAAACATTTAAAGTTATTCAAATTGTGGCGAGCAAGCATTCTTTAGTAAAATAAACCACTGCCTTTTGTTTAGATTCAAGCCGAATTCCCTTAATTTTCTTTTATTTCTTAATTTTTTATGATTTGTTTTACTGAATAGTTCGCCTTGGCTCCACTTATTTATCGCTGAAATGTAGGCACCCGAGAAAGTTTAACCAACCCTGTAGGAAAGCTATGCGGCGATGAGGCAGACATTTTACTTAAAACTAGTAGCTCTTCCCCATATCTACATTTCTTAGAATAATTGTGGTCCTTTAACTAATTTTTGTTTTTTTGATTGCGCCAACGATATATTAGCAAACGAATAGGTTCGCTCCAAAACCAGCGGTCGCAGGGTTATGCGTTGGTAGCGTAGTTGCAAATCTATATGTGGCATGCTATATTTAGGCTGTGAGCAACTTTAAATACTTTATGATTGGCTTGAATCACCGCGCCACAAAATAAATTTAATTTAAACCATAAATAAACTTACAAATATCTGAGTTAAAGCCAGCGGAAAAACGCGCGGGAAATAATTTTTATTACTTTTCTTGCCTCTTTGTATATTCATTTAATGAAATCTGTTTTCATTCGGCCACATGCGAATTTGTGTTAAAACATATAAGCTTTATTTATGACAGAGCAATTTGTTTTCATATTTGCTAGCGATAAGGCAGCTACCGTTACAATTTGCAATCTACAATTATTTTTCGTTTTTTTTTAAAATAAATATTTGTTGATATTTAAAGTATATGTTAAAAAATTCAGAGTTGTTCCGCAGTAATAAATATTATAATTCGAATTTAGAAAAGAGAGTTTTTATTCTTTTTTGTTTTGTCCTCAATTCTTGATTTCAACTAACCAGATTTAAGCTAAAAAATTGTATTGTTTAATTTCCATTGAGCGGCTTCTGGCTTGGGGTTTATAAAACACCAATTTAGGCTAGGTAAAGTTATATCATTTTGAAACATGGAGCCAACAAAGGGAAATGCGGAAGTGTTCGAAAGTTTTTGGACGAAAATTTCCGCTATTCATAAGATTCCAGAGATCAACCAGCATCGATGGTATCAGGATTTAAGATCAGCTCTTTATATAGATTAAATCCTTAATGGTCCTTGAGTGCATGGAAAGATTGGCAGATAATCGCGCCCATCTTATTTGGGTGCCTGCACATAAAGTCATGAAAGAAAATTCCGCTAGAAAAGAGGTTTCAACTAAATTAGTAAGGCTTGCTGTGAGTCCCCAAACTAAGAAGGAAAAGCGTAGGAAAGAAGATATGGCTTATGTTTGAGGAAGGAATTTTACGGGCCACTGCAGATGAAGCAGTTATCGAGATGAAATGGAAAGAGGTTTAAAATAGAAATATGTATATAGTAGAAATGAACGGTTCACTTACCTTGTAACCAGCCTTCAGGTCTAGCTCATCAGCGTGGCGCGCTTTGAAATTGTACAAAATCACATACAAATTCGTTGGCAATAAGCGGTGAGATTTCTGACAAGAAAGGCAATTTAAAAAGTTATTACATTAATGCTTTGTTGGCGCCACAAGCTCTGAACAAAGAAAACTCAAATAAGTAATAGAGTCAAAGAGTAAAACAAAAGCAAACATCAGTTTTAGTTTCAGAAATAAATACTTTTGTGACAAACTGTTTGTTAATCCGTTGGAATACATCAATAATACATTAGCGGAATGGGTGCATTCACGACGGCTGTCAATCGGCCGGTAATCGGACGATACTTCGTTGATTATTATCAACTTTGACGGCGAAATACTTATCGAGTTGGCATCATCCATCAGCACGGTTATTTAGAACGCATGCCAGCCAATGTGAATACCCCCATTGCAGAGCCATCAATTTACCGAACAAATGGACAATCACACTGAAGAGCAACCGAAAAATCGAATCGAAACGAACTGAAAACGAAATACCTGAAATTGCCTTACTGGTGAGGGGCACGGCGAGGTGCTCGCCGACGACTGTGACTTCTCCATCTCGTCGGGCAGGTCGACGCTGCCGCCGCGCATGCCGCGCGTGGCATACAGCAACTTGCGGCCCTGGTGTGAGGGGCTGGAAGGCGCTGTAAATGCACGTTTGAATGCTGCATTAAATTTGTTTCAAATGGCGGGTAGGTTGGGGGGTTGGGGGGTTGTGGGAATGTGGAATGGGTAGTTGTCGGGTGGCGGTGTGACGAACGAGCAGAGCGTATGCGGGTGGCAAATGTTGTGGGCCCATATGTGCGTGTGTGGGTGCAAGTGGGTGTGTGTTTGTGTTGGGTTGTTGGCGTTGTTATTGTTGTTGCAAACGTTGGCAAGTGTTGGCCAGCACAGGCGATGGGTGTGGGTGCGTGTAGATGTCGATGCGGTTGTAGAGTGGCGTGCAGTCAGCAAAGTTGTTGAAAGAGAGAGAAGAAGAAGAGAAAACGAAAGGAAAAGGAAAACAAAACGAAATTAAACGAAAGCACACGCACAAAGTGCAAAAGACTCAATTTTGTTCAACAATTTAATTCAATTTCGCTTGCAACTAATAACTGTTTTTGCAATTCGCTAATTATTTGCGCCAATGCTACTTAAAGTTAAGAACAAATTACCTTCGGCATACACCGTTATTCATGTATATGTATGTCGTATGGCGTAAGCGTAAGTGGAAGGGATATGTGTGTGTATGTGAAAGCAATTGAGTTTGATTGCAATTAAAATGAGCGGCGTGAATGTACAGATGAGCGATTCGAAATTAAAATTGTAATTAAAACCGTAATGATTACTTATATATATATATACGAGAAAGCGCTAGCTACTAGCGCGAACACTTTAAAATTGATCTTATTTCGCAAATGCAACTTCATATATATTATGTAACTCAACGCAACAATGGAACGCTTAAACGGTATGTATATACATGTATATTATATACTTTACGCTACTTAAATCTGTTATAACTGTTTAACCGTATATATAATGAGTAGTTGTTTTATAATTTACCAACGAACAAACTAGGAACGCAACAAAATACTTTCAACTACAATCGTCGAAGTGTTCACAAAGACCTTCTAAATGTCAAATGATTTACGGTATTATTTCATAAATTATTTACAGATTTGTCCGCATACGATTTGGTGAAATGATTTTTGAATGTCAGATATCATAAAATGTGGATATATATGTGTATGTGAGTACCTGCGACGTAAGTTAGGCCATAGTGTTGACACATCTTTCTATTAAGCGTTAATATTTTGGCGGATTTCCAGAGCTAAATACCTTGTTACCTTTCCTGCGTGGAATAATGCTCCGACAAGTAATTTTATGGGGGGCGTGTCCGCTTTTACAGCAACTAGCAGCGGTACAGGTGGGTTACACCCAGGTGAAGATCGGTAGTATTTTAGAAACTACCATAAAAGAAAAAAAAAACAATATATGGAAGAGCGAGCGAATTGAAATATTGAACTCATGATCTCGGGGGATTTGTCCTCTGATACAAAGTAATTGAAGTCGGAATAAGCTTGTAATCTGAAATTCCAACGCCTTACTGCTGTCTTGTACCATAAAAACTTTCTGGAGGCCGCTTAAAAACTCCAAAAAAATCAGAGAATCATCTAGATCAGGAGTGCTCACGCCATAGCTCATTTGGCTCCGTGTGATTCCAAAAAACATCTCTTACAACAAACACAGCAATTTTAAGAGCAAAAAGAAAAATGATCACAATAAGCCATTTGACTTGCGCTGGCTCACTGTAGTTCGCTCGAAACTAACAGGATAACCGTCATTTATTCACAGCTGACTGACATTTGCTCGCATGAACTAAGCTTTAGCTAAGCTTTATGGCTAGTTCAGTAGAAATATTATTTTCAGTCGACGTATTTCTGTCGACGTCATTCTGAGAACTATGTTGTTGTAATTTGTATTTATGTTGTTGCCCTTTGGCTCCGTAGTTAAATTTTTTGGGTTCTAGGTTTGACTATTCCTCTAGGTGATTAGTGCTTTCCGTGAAGGATTTGGCAGACAAATATGACTGATCCTTATTAAGTGGAGGTTGGGGGTTAAAAGTAATCGGCGGATCTGTGTGTTGGAATCCTCTTTGGTGGCCAATAGTTAACGCTATTTGGTTTGCAAATTTTATATGTTGGGTAGCCTATTTGGTGCTGTCGGAGTTAAATTTGTGTTGTTGATTTCGCAAGCACTTGGCATTTAGATAAACATGTGTGTGTGTGTGTGGCTGTCTCGTGTGCGTGTGTGTGCGCAAAGGCGCAGGTGTGTACTTACAATGCAAACGGCTATTGTTCGACGGCGGTGTATTGTGCTCCAAGTGTCCACCGGATCCACCATGATAATATACACTGCCGCCACCGACAACTGTTGTTGGACCGATGACCGGCTGCTGGCGCCGACGAATTTGACCGTGCAGTTCCGTCGATTCCGGCGAATCCAAGCTCAGTGATTTCATGCGCAAATTCAGCTTTTGCCGACGCGGCGAGTGCGGTGCTGTTGTTGTTGGCGATATGCAAGGTATTTATTCGATGAGTTTAACGGATGTTGGTTGTTGTTGTCGGTTGAAAGTGGTCGTTTCAAATCGTGTCAAATTGATGAGAAATTTAGTAGTTCGGTTTTATGTTGTTGTAAGCATGATACGACGATAGCCATTCGTATGCGACGTTGTGTTTTTATTGTTGTTGTTGTTATTTTTATTGTACAACATGTCGTTTGATGAATATTTGATGATGAATAAATTTGAAATTTTGGTAGCAACACAAAAAATGTTGAAGAAAAATTTGTTTCGAAAAAATGCATTAATTTTTCATTATTTCAACTATGCATACAACTTACAACTAATATCCGAACAACTAGGGAGTAAATATTGCTAAATATATTTAGATAATAAAGTAGGAAACATTTAGTGAGCAAAGCAGTTGGAAAGTTTTTTCTTCTCTTCATTTCCAATTCTGTGTCGGTGTGGGTGAGTTGTGTGTGCACTTAGGTTAGCGACCGAAAGACCAGATCTGTGAAGGATGTGGGGTGGCTTTGCAAGCTCACAGAGTGAATTGAAAAATTTCGGTTTCTGATTTGATTTTCAAAGGAAATTTCACTCTAAGTAAAGGGTGTCGTGTATTTTCCATTATAGTTTCTAGTGTTTTAAAGTATTTAAAGGAACAAAACGTGCAAGAACACAAACAAAAGCTTAAATATACACATCCGATGCGTCTCTAAGTTTTCATGTGCTGAGTGCATGGTGTTGCGGCTGTTTGTAGGGACCGCCTATCTCAATTGTGCTTCATATTGATATTTCGTGCAGGTTTTATGGTGGACTCTACAAAAGCAATAACACATATAATTAATGAGCCTCTCAGACACCATTTTCCGCGCACTTTCTCTACATAATTACAAGAGAACGAGACGTTAGGTGGCCGAAAGGAGGAACTCTGGTGGGTTTTAAGTTTATATAAAGAATGTACGAAAATGTTTATTTCACATATTTCACCTTTATATTTATTTATTTCTTTCATTATTTTTTTAAATGTCGTTAACTACACCAACAACTCTTTTGGCCTTTAAAAGCCAAATCAGGGTTAATTGTTTGTTTTGTGTTTATATGCGAGGCTCTTCGGCGTTCGGTGTCAACCAACTTTGAATGAATGAGTGGCCCACAGTAGCTCCTTTATTTGAAATTACGAACTCAATTAACCATGAAACTAATTTATTAAAGCACCATGAATAAATCATCTCAATCGGCATTATTTTCTTGTGACAGAGTTGCAATCGGTTACTTCGTATGAATAATTTAATTGTCGTGTGCACTCAACATACAAAGCATACAAATAATAATGTAAATGTAAAATCAAAAAAAAGTATTTTTTTAAGTTTTTATGGGCTTAAAGTCGCAGCGCGTTTGGCCTAGTGAGAGGCGAGTTGCCATGTGTTGGCGAAATACTTATGCGCAAATAAAATAGAAATAGAATAAAACCACAATAAATGTTTACCTTTAGATGTGTTTAATATACAATATTTTTATTTAATTTTTAAAAACCCACACACGCTGCTAACACAATACAACAACAACACTTAATAACAATATATATAATTTGTGCAATTTATTTCTAAAGTTTAACACACTGAATAATTCACTGGAAATATGCAACAACACAATTAAAATTGAGTACAATGAGTGGGAAAAAATGGCGGCCAAAAGGGCCGTAGTACTGAATAAATTATATAAAATCACTGAAAATGAAGCATTTAATCGGAATAATTAACGGGGCTTACGGAAATAACCACCGAGCACATTTAATGCTTATTAAGTGATATAAATCAGATCTAACAGGACTACATGGATAAGTACAACAATAAATTATTAGTATTTAACTTTCGATACAACAACGGAAAGAATAGAGTGCGAAATGGAAGAAATTAAAAATTAATTACAAAAATTGTCCTTAATTAACTTAATGCAATTTGCGAAAAAATAGCATGATTCCAGGCTGTCGAATACTCTCGGGTGTAGCTAATGATAATTACTTTACACCTTTTCACTTCTAGCCGAATTGGTTACACAGTATTTCTCGCTGTAGTCCTAAATTAATCCTATATAATTTACAGTTATTATTGCTGTCACAGAGGCTATGCATTAAGAATATATTATTATATCATTAAATATTTCATTTCGGCTAAGGAGGTTCATTGAACATTAATTAGGGTAGGGCAGAAGGGCGGATGCACTTGTGCTTTTAGACGTTAGAAGTTCAGATAATAATACGAATAAAAATAGCAATAAAAATAGGTTCTAAACAATATCAAACGATGCGACTGGGAGCATGGACCGCTCCACTTCACATCAAATCCAATTCATCGAAATCCTGCAGTCGGTTGAACGGTGTCACCAATGATGCAGTGATGAGAGCCTTGAGTCTGTCTCCGCTCTTACCTCTCTTCTATTAGTAATACTTAATGTTTCCGCGTCCTCTTTTCAGCACTCATTTTAGTTGCACGCGTTTCTTTCCTGTTTTAGCTGTTCCGACGCTTCGGCCGCTTTCACTTGGCGCCGGCGTGGCTGCTCTGCTGCTGAGCGAAGGCGTGGCTCTGCTGGCGCAAGCAAGCTCACTTAGCGTGGCGACTTCCGTGGGCGCTTGCTCGCTGCTGCCACTTTGGCTGTTTTTGAGGATTTTCCTATTCAGCATAAGTGGTTCGCCGGGTATTCGTGTTGGACTTGAGTTGGTGTCTGCAACTAAAGAGAATTATTGCAAAATGCATCAGTAACATGTCCTCTCAGCCATTCATGGTTAGTGGTCACTTTGTTAGTACGAATAGGTACGCTTTGATGGCAGATGGCAGAAATCATTTGCCATACTCGAGGAATTTCTTTGTGTTAATAATCCATTTATAAATTTGATGAGGAACTTCTTTAAATGCGTTGTTTGTTAGTTGCTGTTAGTCAAGAACTCAAGCACTTTTTTTTAGCTTCTTAAGACTATTGTGACCTCTTTATATGACTCTACATACACTACTCTACTTTTCTTCAATATTTTTTATCTCAAATTCATGACGCTGATTTAACAGACAAATGAAAATCGTAATGCCAGCAAAAAACTTTATCTGCTTGACTTAAGAGCGCATAATAAGTATTTACCACCATTTACATGTACATATTTAATACATACGCTCAGACTCTAAGCAGTAAACAAATAAACAATGCTTTGGCATGACGAAAACTTAAATATTAACATTTTCAAGGATTACGACAAATTTTATCGATATTTTATTTAAATATTTTTAGCTCTAAAGTAAAATTTTTAAAATTGGTAGGAAGTCGTCAGTTTTTAGGGAATTTCTAAATCAAAACCACTAATTATTGCTGCCTGATAATGGAAATCATGGAGAAATCTCCTGACATTCACTGGACACTGCGTGAAAGCCCGAAATAGCAATTTCAGAGCTCTGTCAATCTTCGAATTTCGAAAGCGAATATTATTTTGAAACATGCAGCGATGGACTCAATATATGTACATAAGTTGTTGCAAAAGTCAAACTTCCTTCCCCCCAAAATCAACTCCACAAATTATTGCGAACACGACCTTATCGGCTGAATTCAACAAATTGGATATTAAATCATACGAGACATATTCTATTTCTGGCGAGAAAATCAATATTTCCCGAAATACTTGTGACCTAAAACTGAGAGTCATGGTTAAAAACAAACCAAGAACAAAAAACAACAACAAAAAGTCGTATGTTTTTGATTCGGGTGGAAATGCCGCCAGCGTGACGACGAGTGTTAGTGAAAATAAGCCACCGGTGAAAGCAACAAACATAACATCTTCGCCGAGCAGCAATAAAATCAATGAGCGAGAATAAATATACGCACTCAAGGCGAAAAATGACAGACAAAAACATCAAAAATAAGAAAAGTAAAAACATAAACACACGAATGAGCAAAACCAAACAATTTTCAAATTCGTGCATGTCCAACATTTTTTATGTGCACACAAACAGCACACATCCATACACATATGTACTTGTATGTATGTGTACCATATATGTATTCTTATTTACACATGTGTTAAAGTATGCACTCAGTCGTTGGCAGCCACCTTTACGAGAAAGCGCGTCGATGTGCTTTTGCACAAATAACGGTAATAATAATAACAGAACTTTATACTAGTCATAACAGCAGTAGTTATAATAATGACAATAGTAATAGAAAGAAAGTAAAATAAAACCAGACAACGGCCGGTAAAATAGAGAAGAATTGGCATGCTTGAGACTGCTCATACGCCTCAGTCGGCTGCGTTTGCACCGGAATCACTATAGTGAATTTTAATTAGACGTTATTGTCGTCTTCTAGCAGTCATATTCCCTAATATAATATTCAAGCTAATTCTCCGTCAAGAAGAGAAACGGTGTTGCCATATGTTATTAAACAGAAACCGAACTTAATTTGCCTGCTTTATTTGGCAGTAATCTTTTGTTCGTGGAAATTATATATGCAAAACCAGGTGATTATCTCACTTAATAAGCAAGGCGATTTAAGTTTCACTGTTTGCAAGCACAACAAAAACAAGTTTGTAACAGATTCTGTGCAACAGCTTCATAGAAATACGCGCTTTGTTTCACTGGCTTACAAAAACAATCACCGACGATGAGTATATGCATTTCGGTGCATAAAATTACGGAAGTATTTAGGAAACGAGTTGCGGAATAGGAAATGATTGTGGCGGGGTTAGCGCTTCGCTAGCAATGGAATGGGGACATACACGCCCAGCAAAAAACAACGGGAATATATAGAAAGCATGAAGAAAAAAATTTAAAAAATTGCTGCAGACTGCGAGCTTCGGGAAATGAGTGTATTTTAGACGACTATAAGGGACACTCGCCCACATACAAGTATTTATTACGATTTACAAGGATTTTCCTTTTGTATTTCTCATTTCACGCTTATTTTCAGTAAACTCGTATAAGTGTATACACATGTGCCGATTCTCTTTGCAAATTGTTGGAAATCTCACTCGAAATAATTCAACATATTTTCCCATAAAAGTCGACGCAGACGACGGGAAATTAATTTGGAGCACTCACATTAAATTAATCAGAGGAATTCAAGGGCGAATGTAATGAGTTTTTTACTCAAAGCGCACAGCAAATAAATCAAATGCTCCGTCTGCGCTTTCCTAAGGCTCAGGCTTTACACGCTTTTTGTGAGTGATTTATAATCTGTTTCTTTTTGGCTGCCATAATAAAGTTTTAAATATGCTCGCCTTTTTCTTCGTTGCGCATTCTTCTCGTTTTCCAGCTGCTTTGTTATCTACGCGATTTACTTTTGTTTGTTTTAGCGCTCACTTTCTTGGTGTTGTTGCTGGGTGTTCTTTTCGGCGAGTTTATTTATATAAAGACGGAATATAAACACTTCTTCGCACTTTCAGAACTTCTGAGAACTTCATTCAAACTGAGCACAATGCGGATGAGTTTGAATTAGAGCGATAATTTTCGCAGATTACAACTCTGGGGTGCTGAATCGCGCCCCCTGGTACATGGCTGCTTTGGCCTGTAAGCTTGAAAATAGTGCTTCCCGTTATTTGCGTATTTAAAGGCTAGTGGCTCTATTCTTCACCTTAAATGGCCAGCTAGGTTGCTTGCTACGATGTTCTTAAAAAGGGTTTCGAAACTATCGAGGCGACTCCAGGTTTCCATAAGAAAGGTTTAGTAATTGGAGATAACGTCTGAATTGATTGTGGACTTTTTTAGGTAAAAAGAATAGGTTAGATTGAGTCTTTAATGCGTGCAAATACTCATTGCAACTGGGCTTAAAATACATAAAGTAACAGTGAAGGATGATGGGTAAGTTGTATAAAACATATACGAATTTAAGTGGTAAATAAATGTCAAAAGCAATCGAAGTATGTGTGTTCAGCAGGCAGTTCGCTTGCCAAAAAGTTCAATACCAACAGGACGAGAAGTTAATGCGCAAAGCAGAGAAGATGAAATAATGCAGAAATAGGGAAAGGCAGTGAAGTTTGAAACGAGTACGAGCATATTAATTCATACATTTTTGCCCACGCTGAAGTGATTCCACAGAAAAGAACAAAACTCCTCAATGAAAAGGGGAAAACAATAGCAGCAAAACAAAAGCAGCGGCGCCACGCCCCTTAAGGGCTTTTATTGCCACAAGTTATGATACGGTTGTTTTATAAGCCTTGTTTACATTACGCCAAGGACGCAAGTGTAGGATGGACCACGAGTATAGCAACCGCAAAGCCGCAACCGATTTTAGTGCACTTTCTTGCCAAACAGTTGTAAATATGTATACAGATATGAATACCAGTGTGTGCTTATGAAGGAGCGCCTTTTTATAGTGAGTGTTAATTAGTAATAATACCGTTATGAGAGGACATCGGCGGAAACTAGTCTGCATTTAACTAGTCTTGTACTAATTACTCTTTTCGAAACTGCATTACAAAAATGTAGTAACCGCTATACAAAAGTAAACTAACTTGCAGTTTTCAACAAAATAAATATTTCGCTGCTTACATAGCGAATTTATGAATTGAATTCCATCTGGCATCCTGGAGGTGCCTGAAAGTGTGTACCTCTGCACACATATGTACATGTGTATATTTATTATGCAAATGCCGCTCCTCTCTGCACAGCCGTCCACACACACACAATCATTCCATTAAAAAACGCCACGAATTCTAATTCGCCTGGTATTTTGCTGACACTAATTGTAGTTGTTGTACGCGGTCGGCTAGCCTCACGGCTGTGTGCGTATGGATGTGTGTGTGCGAGTGTGAGTGCGACATGTTCGCGTTCGGTGTAGAAGTAGTAGTAGCTCCGCCAGTAAGCCTTGTTGTGACTAATTCATACACAGCACTCATACGCCCTGCCAACCACTTAAAGCGAATAACGGTGAATTCTAAAAATGCACAGCTGTTGAATTGCATGTCGATATGTGCGTGTGTGGCATTTTCATAATTCGTAATTACGCGAATTTCTCAGCGCTTAGCGCATTTATTTATTTGCCCATTTCTAAATGCATCTGTGTGTGTATGTGCATGCGCATATTTTCATATAATTAAATTAGATATGTTTCACATGTTGATATAATAATCACACACGCTTACACTCATTTTTTAGAAATGTTTTATCAAATAACTTTTTTTCGCTGCTTCTGGTTCCTGCTGTTTGTGGTTGTGTGTGTATGGAGCAGACTGGTGCTTGTGAGCTTCTGTTATCAATTTAAAATTTCTGCTCTGTGTTCACTCTAAAGTGGCCACTGGATTTCCACTATAAATGCCAGCGAATTGTACACGTGTGTGTATGTGTGTGTAAAACCTCACATACTCTAATAGAGTGTCTGCGTTTCATGCTCAGTCCTGCTCTAAACCAAACCGGTCCACACTTAGTACATTTTCAAATAATTTACTGGCTCTTCACTAAGCAAACTAGAAAGCGTTTCATTTGTCAAACAATTTCAATTGTACATTTTGCTGTTCTATAAATGTTTTACTTCGAAAAGTAAACCAAAAGTGATCGTAATGTGAACGCGGAAATTAAGTATCGCGAGTGCGTTCGTTTCAAATTAAATATTAAATGTATAAATAGAAATTACTAAATTGTTTGTGTAAAATATTTTTCAATTCAAAAAAAACATATTGAAGACACGGAGGAATTGTCTGTCAACTAATGGACTCTATAAAACCTTTACTTCGTGCTCAATCATTTTTAACTAAA